ACAACAGCCAAAATAGTTGGTAAATGCTCCATTTCAAATTTGCAACTGCCAATTCGACCGCCTTTGTTTACGTTTTCATGAGCCACAGCTGATCGATCAGCTGTTCGGATGCAGATGCACTTTGATGCAGCTCTGTGGGAACACGAGTTTCGCATCTGCGAAAAATCCCAAACGTTCCTCACAGATGCGCTGTGTGGGAAGACAGTATTACGTAACAATGGACGAAACATGGATACACCACTATTCTCCAGAATCCAGGCGTCAGTCTTCTGAGTGGGTGGTAGCCGGTGAAAGCCGTCCAAAGCGTCCTAAAACGCAAATATCGGGTAAGGTTATGGCGTCCGTATTTTGGGATGCATGTGGGATTTTGTTTATAGATACCTGGAGAAAAGTAAAACAATCAACAGCGAATTTTATATAAAGCTGCTGGATCGACTGGCAAAGACGAAACCACTATTTCACAGGATAATGCACCGTGCGACAAAGCTGTGGCAACAATGGTGAAATTGAGCGAATTGAGATTCGAACTACTGCGGCACCCACCCTACTCTCCAAATTTGGCCCCCCGCGACTACTGGACTTTTTCAGATCTCAAAAAGCACCTCCAAGGCAAGAGATTTCGAACAAATGAGGAGGTGATTGCCGATACTGAGGCCTATTTTGAGGGCAAAAGTTCAGCCTTCGACAAAAAAGGCATCGAAAGGTTGGAGAAGCGCTGGACTGAGAGTGTAGCCGTAGATGGAAACTACCTCAGTAAAATTGATATATGTGCAAATTTTGTTTTCTATATAACTGTCGTTTTAATAGCGATAGTTTTTTTTTAAGTACACACCATTTTTCTATTATATATGCTAATATTGCTGCATACATTGGGTTTTTATTAGCGCCCAATTTGTAGTACCATTAGCGTAAAAAAGAACACGAAGAACTGCTTTTAATAGAAAGTTTATAAATGTGCAATATGCTTCATTTACGTTTGGAGAGCGACCCGGTCATATTCTAATGGAACAAAGTGATTAAATTTGTTATTTTATTTACTAAAAATTAATTATATTTTATATTGGGCTATTATTAAAAGAGATGGGTTAAAAAAACCATACTCCATGATTAAAATCCCACGGAGAACCCAAGTAACGGAAAAAGAGCAGATTAGAGTAAAAACTATTGCTGAATATGGCGTCAAAGTTAGTGTTATTGCTACAACAATTAATAGGCAACGGAATACAATAACAAATTTCCTAAAGTCATCGCAAAATTAAGCTCAGAACAACCGCAAAGGTGCAGTTCCTATATAAAAGAAATTATGAAAAACAAGAAAGGAAGCTAACTTCGGCACGCCGAAGTTTGTATACCCTTGCAGATTGGTTTCGATGTTTATATTATAGATTTAAATGCTGAAAAGACTCACAAAACAGTGTTTCATTACATTTTACCTATACTTATTATGTTTACAGTTTGACAGTTATAGTTTTACATTCCCAGCTTTACATATTTTATACATTTACCGATCGCTTCTATGGCAGCTATAAGATATAGTTGTCCGATTTTTATAAAATTTATACCAAAATTGTAGAATAATAAAAAAAGCCTATATCTTAGAGTAGATAAAAATACGTTGAAAAACAACGAAGCAATAATTTTTTTCCTATTAATTTCCCGATCGTTCCTATGGCAGCTATATCATATAGTCGTCCGATTTTCATAAAATTTTTACAAAAATTCTAAAATAATATAAAATGGCCATATCTAAAAAATGATGGAAAAATATTGAAAAACAGCAAAGTTATAATTTTTTTCCTAAAAATTTATCGAACATTTGTATGGCAGCTATATGATATAGTCGTCCGATCCGGCCCGTTCCGACATATATAGCAGTGAGAGCATATAGAAGACTATATGCAAAGTTTCATTCAGATAGCTTTAAAACTGAGGGACTAGTTTGCGTAGAAACGGACAGGTGGACAGACGGACAGACGGACAGACGGACATGGCTAGATCGACTCGGCTGTTGATGCTGATCAAGAATATATATACTTTATAGGGTCGGAAACGTCTCCTTCACTGCGTTGCAAACTTCTGACTGAAATTATAATACCCTGCAAGGGTATAAAAATGAAGTAGCAACACTGACATATTATCTGCCGCATTTTGGAGTCCTAAATACCAATAAACCAGATAAACTGGGAATAGTTTTTGATGCAGCCTCCAAGAGCCATGGTTATTGTCTTAAACCTGTTATACCCAAGAGTGCCTTAAGGACTTATTATATAATTTGTATTATCTGAAAAAGAGGCATTAGAATATCAGACAAATTATGACCAAGCCTGTAAAGACATTATAAGGAAGCATTACATGGAAGACTACCTTGGTGGAGCCAATGATATTAATAGTGCCATCAAATTAATCAAGAATGTTACATAGGGCAGGTGGTTTTGACATGCGAAAGTGGATATCTAATTCTTCTGAAGTCTTAGATCAAATAATAGAAAGCAAGGAAGTTCTCAAAAACAAAATTAAAACTCTGACTGAAGAGCGAGCTTTAGGTCTAATTTGGAATTATGAAAAAGACATATTTAGTTATAATTTACCATTTTCCAAATAACATTCCAAACTCTTAAACATTCATAGACAACCAACTAAACGAGAAATTTTGCGGATTACCATGTCTATTTTCGACCCGTTAGGATTTTTCTCTAACTTGTTAATAGCAAATAAAATCCTTTTGCAAGCAATTTGGGACAGAGGTATCCATTGGGATGACTGTATCATGGAATAACAATTTGAAATTTGGAAAGCATTATGTGACAATATAAATAAAATAAGTGAATTTTTCATTCCCAGACAGATGACAGCATTTCCCATAAGCCAATGTAATATGCAGCTTCATATATTTTGTGACGCCTCGAATACTCGAATACGTTTTGAGTACGAGAGTCAAGCTGAAAGTATTTTGATCGCAGCCAAATTACTTGTAGCACCACTAAAACCTATGACAATTGCCAGACTTGAACTGCAGGGAACGTTATTAGGCGTCAGACTTAGCAAAACAATCAAAGAAACCCTCAATTTCAAGATAAACTCTAGTTTTTTGTGGACAGACTCTGAAATTGTTTTATATTGGCTCAAAAAATTCAAAACATTCGTGGTGCAACGCTTGGGTGAATGGCTAACTAACATTAGTGAGTGGCGATACGGTCCTTTAAACTAAATCCAGCTGATAAAGCAACAAAGATATCACAAATCGTCTTCTCATCAAATGAATTACAGTTAAAAGGACGTGAATTTTTGAGAAATAGTTGGGATCAGTGGCCACAATAAAAAAAAAAGTCTCTTATCCCACACGAAGTTGATGACGATGAAATATGTACATTTTACTACCACTGAAAAACAATTATTTATTTTACCTGATCTAAAAAGATTTTTTAATTGGATGTGATTTTTAAGAACAACAGCATGGGTACTAAGATTTTGACAAAACTGAGCATAAAACAAAAGCCGTTTGTAGATAATTAATTGACAATTGCTGAACTTTCTAGAGCAGAAACTGTAATTTTTCAAAGGATATAGCAGGATAGTTACCCAGACGAACTACGGAAACTTAAACGTAATGAACTAGTCCCAAATTTGAGCTTTTTAAATTGATTACCATTATACCTAAACAGCGATAATGTACTAAGGCTCAGAGGCAGACTCAATAATTTGCGTGATGAGGAGATCAGCATCGTCTAAAAATCCAATTGCTTTGAGCAAAGATCATCCAATCACAAATTGATTATCCATTTTTATTACGTTCAAAATTGTCATATAGGAACTGAAACTGTAATTGCAAAGAAAAAAAAAACAAACAAAAACAAGAAAGGAAGCTAACTTCGGCACTCCGAAGTTTATATACCCTTGCAGATTGGTTTTTATATTTATATTATAGACTTAAATGATGAAAACACACACAAAACAGAGCTTCATAACATTTTACCTTTACTTACAGTTTGACAGTTACAGTTTTACATTCACAGCTTTACATTTTCGGTTTATATGGCAGCTATATGATATAGTTGTCCGATTTCCATGAAATTTTTACCGAAATTCTGAAATAAATCTCAAAAATGATGCAAAAATATTTAAAAACAGCCAAGTTATAATTTTTTTCTAAAAATTTATTGAACATTTGTATGGCAGCTATGTGATATAGTCGTCCGATCCGGCCCGTTCCGACATATATAGCAGTGAGAGTATATAGAAGACTATATGCAAAGTTTTGTTCACATAGCTTTAAAACTGAGGGACTAGTTTGCGTAGAAACGGACGGACGGACAGACGGACATGGCTAGATCGACTCGGCTGTTGATGCTGATCAAGAATATATATACTTTACAGGGTCGGAAACGTCTCCTTCACTGCGTTGCAAACTTCTGACTGAAATTATAATACCCTGCAAGGGTATAAAAAGACAAAAAATCTTAAGTCTAACCAGGATTTGATCCCATGCACTTCAGGGTGGCAGTCGGATGCCTTAGCCACTAGACCAACCGGCAAGCAGGCCTCGGGGTGCCCAGATTCGAAGTAGAATCGAGCCCTGCGGGTTCCACGGGGAAAATGCGGGTTCTACCGCTGCAGCGCGCTGGAACTCGCCATACGACACATTTTTTGTATGAGATGTCCGCTCTATATAGTTCTATACTCTTTGATACTACTAGATACCTACTACTTGATACCTACTACTTGATACCTACATATTGATAAAAACATCCGACTTAGGTCGCACATAACCCAGAAAGTTTACGTGTTTTAATTATTTCAAGTGCATATCTGAAACTATTTAATTTTGAGCTTGGGCGATTTTTTTAAATTTAAATCTAAATTATAGAAAATCGAAAACTATAGCTAATTTCAGAGATCGAATTAATTAGATCAGGGCAGGGGACATATATTAGTAAAACTTGAAAATAATACTAAAACCGTTTCATTATTTAAAGATACAAAGTCCGACTGTCTCTACTTACAATTCACATGAACGTCAAAACGCTTGCTCACTGATGGTGGTACTCCGTTAGATGCAATGCAGTTATAACCGCCAATATCGCTCCGATGAACATTTGTCAGTGTAAGACGTTCTCCTTCTACATATTTCAGAGCTGTAATGATAAAAAGTCGAAGGCATTAATATACAAATTTATATAAAGTACGGTACTAGTACAAGCAATTTAATTGATGCATATGCAGTTAGCCACTTATACGCTTAATGACTGCTATCTGGAAAGAATAACTCTTGTTGACAATTTGGGTGTTCGCTTTGACCCTAAATTTTCGATCTATGAACATGTTTTATGCATGGTGAATAAAGCCAGAGGCATGCTTTGCCTTACGAAGAAGTGGTCGAAAGAATTCGATTCCCCTTATGTAACGAAGACTCTTTTTACTTCGTTAGTACGCCCTATATTGGAGTATGGTTTATGTGTCTGGCGTCTTCAATTTGGAGTCCATATTAACCGTATTAAAACTGTACAAAATAACTCTTTATTTTTCTTCTGGGATGCTGACGAGAGACTACCATCTTATTCTAGTAGACTTCTATTAATTAACTTACCCTCCCTAGCCAACCGTAGAACGATGCTTGGTGTCGTATTTCTTAATAACATAATAAACGGTGATGTTGAGAGGCCCTATCTTCTAGGGCAGCTCAATTTCCACGTTCCTCGACTAACATCTAGAACCCATATCCCAAAAGTAATAAATCGCTGTACGTGGGAGTTTGAAGTACATGAACCCTTTAGGGTTTTAAGTGCTGATTACAACCGCCTGTCTGATGTAGTGGCGCTTGGGTAAGAATTAAATCACCCTTAGCCCAAAAGTCGACACAGATTTTCAAATTATGTTTCGATCGGCGAACAGCATAATTGTTCCCCGAATTGCTTGTAGCATACTTTTGGCGTAATATAATGCTTACAGTAGCTATGCTCGGAAGATATCAGGAAGATCTAGGGTCGCTTTCGATAATGGAAAGGGCTAATGTCAAAATGACACGAACTCCAGCTTCCCGCTACGAAGTTGTCTATATCCGCCCGAAGCTATTTTCATTCTTTTCGATCTGACCCCCAAACGCAGCGGACGTGCTCTGGAGGGCCTACGTTCAATCATATACATTTTCTCAGAACATGATAAAAATAAAAAAATATATATAAAAAAAGCCCCCCAACGATTTTATATTGGTGCCAGAGTAAATATTCTTCTTCGAGCTTCGGCACATAAATGGCCATTAACTAATTTAAAACCTTTATTTAGAATTGGCACCAAGTTGCTCAGCAATTTTTCCTGGAAAATTCGGTGGCCCACAAGCCATTTTAGTTGGCCCGAATAAAGGAAAACGTGTGCTAGAGGCGCCACCAACCTAAATGCATCGAGACTGCCCCAAGGCAGTCCCTTCTTCGGCGACCGAGCTTCGCCATGCCCTAGAGCAAGAGAGCGAAGGGCATCGATCGCTGCGCAGCGTCGTGCAGTGAATTTTATTGTGTTTTTCGTCGGAGACAGACGTCTTTAACCCTCGCTAAAAATAGCCATCTAGCAATAGGCAAAATAATTCGCTAAAAGAACAACAATCATACAAATCATACAATCAAACAAATTAAGGTGAAAAAATTTTAATTTTTTTACCCTAGGAACATTTCGTCTTTCAAGATAAATGTTCCTGACGAAGTCTTTGGCACTCTATGCTCTGCCGAAACCTGGCCACAGTATGTGGTTGTCAAAGAGTTTGAAGGTACGAAAAAGAAAAAGCGGCCTGTAGGAATTACTCTTCTTAGGCCAGATTTGCCCAATGCTCCGTCTACGTCTTCCAATTCCGTCCCAAAAAACTAACCAGTTCCCTTGGTATTTCCTATCAGAATGCAAGAGGCTTATGCAGTAAGCTTCCTAAATTGTATTCCGACAGCGTCGCATTTGCTTCCCAAGTTATTGTGTTCACAGAAACCTGGTTAAAGTCGGAGATTCTGAGCTCCGAAGTTTTTCCAGCTGCGTTCACAGTATACCGGCTAGATCGGCCTATCAGACGTGGGGGAGGTGTCCTTATAGCGGTCGACTCCACTCTCACGTCCGAATTAATAATTTTCGAGGAATCCAACAATGTTGAATTCCTTTGCGTGAAGCTATCAGTTAATGGTAGTTCCATTTTTGTTACATGTTCCTACATTCCTCCATTGTCGGAACTTCCTATTTATTGGAACCATCTTTCCGCTATTCAGTTGGTCTCCAAAAGACTTTCGGATAGGGACCATTTAGTAGTTCTTGGTGATTTTAACATCCCAGGGGCTATTTGGTCCCTAGATAATTCCACTAACACACTTCTTACGACAACACATCATGATTTTATTGCTGGCTTGTTTGACATTTCGCTGTCCCAAGTCAATCATGTTCGAAATTCCTTAGAGCGCTTGCTTGATCTTTGTTTTGTCTCAGATCCGGAAAGAGTTAGTTTAGCTAGGGTGGCGCCCCTGACGCAACCCGAAGATCCCTATCATCCCACTTTCGATGTGACTATCGACTTGGGGACTGTTTCACGGAATAAGTCCAGCCCAAGAAGTCTTCTGCTTTAGCAAAACGGATTTCGTACGGCTGAATAATTTCATAATTAATTACAACTGGTCCGATCTATACACATGCAGTGACATGGCGGAAGCCGTGGGTATTTTTTATCGTGTTATGAATTCATTTTTTATTGACTGTGTTCCGTTATACTGTCCGTCTACATCAAACAAGCCTCCTTGGTTTACCAAAGAGTTGACCCGCCTCAAAAAAAGAAAATCAAATCTATATGCTAAATATCAACGTACCGGTTCTCCGATTGTCCTATCTAGTTATTTATCAGCTCGATCCACATTTATTGTGTATAACGCGCAGTGCTACAATAATTATTTGACTCGTTGCAGGTCCCAGTTTTCTGAGGACCCAAAACAGTTTTATAATTTCGTTAAATCCAAGCGTAAATCCATTACTCGTCCGTCCTCGCTCTCTTTTGGTAATTCAACAGCAGATAATGATCAGGCAATAGCCGATCTCTTTGCTCAGTTTTTTGAAACCACTTACTCCAACTCAATAGACCCAAATCAGGCTTATCCTTACATCATCCCCAAATCGAACCAAATCTTCAGTCCTACCATTAACGAAAGCTGTCTTCTTAGGGATCTTTATCGTGTTAAGCCAGTTTTTTTACCAGGTCCCGACGGAATACCAGGCTGTGTGCTTAGGAATTGTGCCGAAGCCCTGTGCAATCCACTTCTCAAATTGTTTACCTTATCCTTAGAAACCTCCCACTTTCCCCTTATTTGGAAGGAATCGTTCGTTATTCCTCTCCACAAAAAAGGTAGCAAATTGGATGCCAACAATTAAAGAGGTATCTCTAAGTTGTCGGCCATCCCTAAACTGTTCGAAAATGTTATTACTCCTCATCTGCAGCACCTGTGTAGGTCAATTATTTCTCCATGTCAACATGGTTTTATTAGGCGAAGATCAATTACAACGAATCTGTTGGAGCTTACTTCCTTTATTATAAAGGGAAATAACTTTCAGACAGATGTAATCTATACTGATTTCAGTAAAGCATTTGACTCTGTTAACCATTCTCTTCTTGTTTGGAAACTCGATTTAATGGGATTTCCGACTCATCTTCTTAATTGGATCTCAGGTTATCTAAATGGCAGGACGCAGAAGGTCCTTTTCGAAAATAAACTATCTAATGTTCTTAGGGTTACATCTGGCGTCCCGCAAGGGAGTCATTTGGGTCCCCTACTGTTTACGTTATTTATCAACTATCTGCCCAAAGTTTTGACCAACTCCAGAGTACTTATGTATGCTGATGACGTCAAGCTTTGTGTGCAATATAACGATGCTACTTGCCAATCAGACTTACAGACAGATCTTAACAATTTTCAAACATGGTGCTGCGTGAACTTATTAAACTTAAACGGCAAGTGCATTCTCCCGTGTCACTCCTAAGCCTGCAACTTATACATTACCAACCATTCCATGGGGTCCCATGTAAGCACTTACATTACCGACCATTCCATGGAGCACTATTTCACTAGTTCCAGCTAGTAGCTGGTTCGCAGCTCGTTTACCGTAGAGTCAGTATAGTAAGTACCCATATAGTAACCGACGAAGTAAGCAACTACGCAAGGCCAATCGCCACCTCCCGTACTACAGGGCAATAATATCTAACGTTGATAGCCTCCCAAAACTAAAAACTTCAATTCTAACCTACTTACGCATGCAAGCAACCAATCCGGCAGTACGCCAGTAGTAGTCTCCCCGCATCCTTTTTTTTTAAGTCCTTCGCGTTTACTAATTGCTAACAGAACAAGCACGTGCTTGGTGTCGCAAGTTCCACTTGATATGTACTGTACATAGTGCATCACCGTCTTGCAAAAAAAATATATGTTATATAGAGCAAGTGAAGTCGGCTAGAGCTTATTTTTCTTATTTTCTCGATTCCATCATTTTAATTATTATTCATGGAAAAGAATAAGTTTTGCTTTTAAAGATTTTTCGTAAATATTGTATGTGTTGGCTAAGGAATCAAAAGAAAGAAATGTCGAAAATCTTCGGAAAAATTTAAAGGTGCGGTAAAACTATAATAATCCATAAAGCAGTGAAAACAAACCCCCCCAAATAATCTTCAGTGCATACGAACAAAAACAATAAAAAAAAAAAAATAAATAAAATACGTGCATTGAAGACCGTCAACAATAACATGAAAAGCTCGTTGGCAATAAAACCATAATCCTCGCTAAGAATTGTTTCCAGCTACATACACCATCTAAAGATTTTTCGACGATGGAGCTGCAGCCAAATGTAAGTGAAACCAATGCATGCTAGCTATCGTTTTTTTTTTGTTTGTTTTGCTCGCGGCTTTCGTAGAGATAAGCTTTTATTGCTACACTGAGCGACGAATTTTTGAAAAGTGGAAAATAAAATCAGCCTAATTTAATTTTCAATTCTCCTAATAATAAATTAAATACGCAAACTAGTCCCTCAGTTTTATCTGAATGAAACTTTGCATTTACTATATACTCTCTATATACTCTCACTGCTATATATGTCGGAACGGGCCGGATCGGACGACTATATCATATAGCTGCCATAC